TATAGATGAAAGCGTTTTTAAATGTTTTACTGACAATAAACAAATGTTTCAATAAATTCAACACCAGTTATTGACGGAATTTGATGTGAAGTTATCCAATGTTTGCTCTTAGTGTTTTACAGTTGTTAACAGTGTTCCAGATACACCAGAACTCATACGCTGTGTGTTAGTCTACAACAAAAATAATTAATAACATAATTTGCATTTGCACAACCAAATAACATGGAAAAAGTTACAAATGTACAACGTTTGTTAGAACGTTGAACAATGTATCACACATAAAAAAAAACCGACAAAAGACAAAAATATTAAAATTGTTGAGGGCAAACCGCACTTTATAAGAACGATCTTTCTGTTTCCATGCTGTTCTTGGAACTATTTCCTCCATTATAAATCATGTTCAAATAAGCCATGATTATGCACTATTGCCTGACCCTACAATTTCCTTGTAACAAGCTTCTAATTAGCTGCATATTCAGTTTTAAACAGTACATCCTGACAAATTTTACAAAGACCTTTCGTTGTACGTGAAATTTAGCGTCATGTTTAAGCACATTGAAGGCACTAAAGTTCATTAGAAATGCATCAGAAATCGTGAGATGTACGTAGTTGAACAGATTACTGATTCTAGATACTTCAAAAGCCTTTCTCATGAAAACGGTCATTGATTTTGCAATGTGACTATAAGGCTGGGTACATTTGGTTTGTGAACTTATTCAATGTCAGATCCTTGTTTATAATTTTGTTAAGATACCAACATATATATCCAGCTTCATTGTAATGGTTCTTTAGATCAGAGGGTTTTCCTTTTCAGCCATATAGCCCTTACTTTGGAACTTACTGTTATCCTAAACAACGTAATATGCAAGCTTTTTCTTTTTTCATGGAGAAGAATGAAGGCTCCCTCCTTAGAAATATTGTGTCCTTTGGTTCAGCATCGTTTATCTTACTGTATAAACATCCTTACTCGGAAAGGGTTTTTACATAATATTCAAGATGAAGGAAAGGGTTATGACATAATATTCTAGACGTAAATCTAATCGAGGCAGCATTCCAAAGCTGAGTTCTCAGGAACTGGCTGTGAGCCAAATATAAACACCTGTAGTGACACATCACTGCATTAGCATATATAAAGTGTGATTAATCCTCTATAACGTTCAAGACATAGGAAGGAATTGCGCTGACGATTAAGTTCTTGTAGGTTGAAATGTCCAACAAATAGTGGATTTTTGTTGAAGAGATAAAGGTAAAAAGTGAACGAGCTCACACTATGCTTGAGAAAAACTCAGTTTTTATTTGGTGTTTTCAATAATAATAGTGAAAGATATTATTGATAGATTAAGTTAAAATGTTCATAGATGAGTGAAATTATCTCCAGCAAATAAAGTCCACAGACAGTAACTTATGTATCATACAGAATGTAAATTTTGCACTTAGTGTTTAATTTGGGTATGATTTTATACTCCCAATCGTGCAAATTGAAATATTTTGTAACCTAGCAGTTTTAGTAAATCCATTTTTATCATTTATTAAAGTACAAGGTACAGTTAAAAGTTATGATAGTATAGGCTGTGAGTGTACGACCGGAGGCAGAAAGTAACGTCTACGTGGCATTGCTTTAAAGCCACCTTGGTCTGTACTGAACTTGCATCAGTAGGAAGTTTGATAGAAGTGAAATGTTAATTTCAATGGACTTTCGTAATCAGAAGCTAGAGATTGGCACTTGTATAATGACTATTTTGGTTAATCGTGTACGAACCAGTATTTACAGTTTCACTCCTCTTTCTTCTCTAGTGGACCCAACCAGTGGTGGAGGGAACTCAAGCAGATTATAGATATCTGAGATGTTCCCATAGACATGATACAATGGACAAGCACAGTTGTGAGCTGGTCAAATGTAAACACCTAAGGAAGTCTGGTGGAGCATGACATTCGCATATTTAAACAATATATATAGTGTATAGGTGATATACACGTGAGTAAACGTATAACTATAGCAATGCCATTTAATTAACCAGGTCAATAGATAGTAGTTGCGTCCGGGTCATATACAATCTTCAAACCAATATATTTTTTCCATCCTTACTTTTTGTTATGTACGGTTAAACTCTTTAGTCTATTTTGCTATCCTTCCAGAAGTTTCACAAACATTTATTCGACTGCTTGATCATCCATACTCTCATATGGAAGATGCATTTTGTTCACTGACAAAAGTACCAAGAACTCTTGTATGGTCTGATTGCAGCTGATGTTGGACCTGAAGAGAAGAATCTTCTATGAATATAACCTTCTTATAACATATTGGCTGTATCTGATATTATTGATAGCCATACCTCCTCAGGATCCAATAAACCAGTGACTTTTTCCACGATCATGACTACTATAAAATTCCCTATCTCAGATTAAATCGAGAAAGCTCCGGCCAGAGCCAACAAAGAATATATGAAAAAAGAAAGTAAATTAAAATGAAAGTCTCTCATCAAGAGGTACTGATTTTTTAACCAATATTACTTCACATTTATGAGGACATAGAAAGGAAAGAAAAAAGTTTTATTGTTGTAAAACTAAAATATATTTTACATACTGTTACGACATCGAGGTCACGTGACTAGTATCTTGCCACGTCATTCTCGAGCCTTCGTGAATTGTCGGGAGATTACTAGATATAGTGTAGTCTTGTATATATAAAACGTTCACGACGTGACGTGACGACAGTGTAATGAGTAATTGAATGTATGCGGACAAAATATTGTTGGCCGCGTGAGACGTGAATTATAGTGTTTGTTATAGAGCGACTGTTGAAATTAAGTGTATCGTAAAGTTGTATTCGGAAAGAATAAACCAGTTTTATTTAAGAAAGGACTTGTGTCGCTAAAGTTTCGTCGGAACGAATTTACGGAAAATTAATTACCAAACGGAGACGTAACAATATATTTATATATATATATATCCCTCACTGTATTTTTCATGTAAAACTATTTGTTGTCTTGTGCACTTTGTCTTAGAAAAGATCACTGTAAGGTAAGAAACACTATGTGAAGGTGGTCAGCTCTTTCAGTCAAGATCTATATCCATTCACTAGAAAGAGAGAAGTGCTATCTATTATCTTCAACATTTTGCACTTGTTTTTGACTGTATTGTAATTGAATAAAAATAACTTTCACTTTGTTTTACATTGTGTTTAGTTTTTTTCTTGAATTCAATCAAAGTCCAGGAAATTCAGATTTACCCTATAATATATTTCTTGGTCGAAACTTTCGTTATTAACGCATACTGCCGGATATATTGAGAAAAACAGTTTATCTGGAAGAACCACATGTGAATAAATTGCTGGTGATCTAGTTACTTATTGTCCTAGGCAATTTACTTGTAGTATCACTTAGAAATCTATCATAGAAGAGGTTGCAGTAGAGTTGCATGGTTCAAACACTATGTAGTTTCTATAGCGACTCAACTGTGTCGCAGTTTTTGTGATACCTGATAGTTATATCCTCATTTTTGTGATGGAATGAACAAACTAAACAGATGAAGCGATTGCGTACTGGGAAAGATGATGGTATTATGTTTTGTATATAGTCGTAATATTCTTTTAACAGGGATGTGTCCACCGAGATGACGTGAGGGACACCTCCATTGGAGAGCTCTGCCTCTCAGTCCCCTATATGAAATATAGTCTTTTAAAAATTTTATATTTTTAACATTGTGACTCCCACTAAGATGAAAGTGTTAATTTTTTCTGCCTCCAAACTAACTCTTTGTCCTCTTATGTCCCCCTCCCAATAAAAAAATCCTAGAAACACCACTGTATCTTAGTCTCATTCAGATTTCCTTCAGATTTTGCCCAGATCTCTCTATTTAGAGAACAGCGCTGTTAATTATCTCGTGTACTCGCATTTGATTTGTGTTGAAAATAAATAAAGATTACTTTACACTTTGTTTGGTCTCTTTCTTCAATTCAGTTCGTACCTTTAAAGTAACTCAGAGTACTTGGAAATACCACTCTCTCGTATATCTTTCTTAGATTCAAAGAAAGAAGTGCGATCACATATCATTTCTATGTACATGTTCATTAGTTGAATTTTTTATAGAGAGAAGTATTATTATTCCAACCTGTATAGTATTAATGTATTTGAAAATTCCCCACTAACGCATTATCTTTTTTTTTGTTTATTGTCAAGCACAGAGCTACCCGATTTTTAGAGTTATAAGTGATCAGACTTACCGCTCAACAACTGGCGAGAAGAGCAATGTGTTAACTCGATAATTAAAGCTGCAGTTTAGAATGTCTTGCATAGTATGTATATATATTACTGTTACGACAGCGGAAGTCACGTGACG